TACCAACTAATTTGCAAACACAGTACATATACACATCCATTAAACGCAGTATTATTCATGAATCTTGACATCCTCATTATCATCATAAGGTCGTCAGTCCTAAGACTGGTTGGACACGTACCGCCACTCTTTCCTATCCTGAGCTAATCTTCGCATTTCCCTAAAACTAGAACAATCCATATCCTTAACTCTCTGCGAACAGTAATCTAATCTAGGCATCCACGGCATTCTCGTCATTCGCCTGTAACACCACATTTCGAACACTTCTAACCTTTTCTTTTCCGCCGCGCCCACTGTCCATGTTTCGCACTCCTACAGCGCCGTGCTTCAAACATACACCTCTAACAATCTTTTTCGGATTTCTAAATTAAGCGTTCGCGAGCATAGAAGTGACTTCTTTTTATTGAAGGCGAATCGACCCTGCGTTATCCTCTGTTTTATATCCCTACTACACCTTCCATCCTGACTTATCTGATGACTTCCTAGATACCTGAAATTGGCTACTTCTAATTTTTCGTTTCCTGTCTTTATTTTCAGTCTTTCCCTACTTTTTCTTCTTTTGCAAACCAGTATTTTTGTTTTAATTTTATTTATTTTCATACAGTACTGTTTTGTCAATACCGCTTCCATTTTATTTAAAGCTATCTCTAACTTCTCTTTGCTAGATGCTAATAAGTACTGCTATATCATCGTGAATCTTGACGTTAAAAAGTGTTTGGGTGTTAATATACAATTACCTTTTTGTTTGCATTTTGTCAATTTTTACAGTAATGTTGTAGACGCTGCCGAATATCCGGCAGGGCTGATAATGCTGATATCCGGTGCATCTCTGCTCAATATAGCACCTTTCTGTTGTAGGCATCTGTGAGATATATATACACCTTACATATTATATGCATACTTTGAAGCAATGATCCTGGTATTTGTGATAGTCGTTATATGTTTTACCTTATTATTAATTGCCCTAAATATTCATACCAAACTTACTACAGGATGGGATAGAAGTCACACATGTTTAATAGGAAAGACGGCCGTTGTAACTGGTGCTAATGCAGGTGAGAAAGATACAATATTCTGGATATATAACGCGGTTCATGTCGAATGGTCAAAATTATTGTTTGCGAAGAATTTAAACTTCAAGTACAAGGTATAGAGCGGCATTGGTTCAGAAATTAATTGGCAATAATAAAGTAAAATCTGAATCTATTATGCCAACTGCAACTTTGAAATACAAACGATGTTTACCGGAGCTCAGCAATTATTTAATAAAGTGACAAAAACAGAGAAAGCGTAGAAGGGTCAAATAATTTTTTTACTTGTAACTCTAAATTTCGATTTGCAGCTTAACATTTCGACATATAACTTGAAAATTCAACTTGTAATTCAATGATTATTAAATCGCAACCTAACGTAACCTAATGCAATTCCTGCCTAAGCTAAGGTAACTTTAAATATGAAGACAAGACTACTACAACACTCATTTCTTTGATTTTGTCTTTACTCACTGTAACGTTATGATTACAACTAAACGAATAAAAGCTTCAAGTAAAATTAGGTTAGGATTGTAATTTATAGGGTAGTTAAAGACAACACAGTTTATACGGCTGAACCAATCGTAATCTAACCCAATTCTAATCTAATAAGCAATTGAATTACAGACGACGCTGATGGTTAAAATTATGATTCAGGCTGAAAATGAATGAATGAAAAAATATAATGAATTATTAGGTCCAGATATTTCGTCGGCAATTGAGACTGACATCTTCAGTGGGGGTCACAGTTGCCAACGAAACGTCTGAACCTAACAGTAGTTAATTTAGACCACGGTTCTTCAGCCCGAATCATAATTCTACGATATCATTGATTCCGGCCGTGAAAGCCATGTTATTATATTGATGGTTAAATCAATATTCAAAAAATTATATTTGATCCTTCTACGCCTTCGTATTTTTGAATGTTTTTTTTAAAAATGAATTATCATAAAGTAGACTAAAAATCCATCCAGCTGTTAAACTAAGCGCATGCGTTCAAAAACAAAAAGGTATTTTCGAATGTTAAGTACCGATGTACTTATCGAGGTAAGGCCGCAATTCGAATCGGATTGGGCATTACATCTGCCCTATTAGCAAAACTTGATCAGGATTGGATCACGTATGTAATTCCTCAAATATCTCGATTCGGATCGGGCCACCATGCAGAATCCTGGTTGGGAAACTCTATGTGGTCCTGAACACAGTGACCTGCAAGGGGCAAGTTGGAATGCTTTGTAGAGTCCTAATTAAAGGAACCTAGTGCCTTATATGAGACTGACTAAGGAATTCCGAAATAGGGCTATACGAAGAAGCCAGGATTTTAGTTATAGACAAAGTATGGATATACTAATACGGATTCACTACAAGAGCCTGATCGGGGTCAGATTTTTATTAGGGTTACCTTTATTTCACTCACCCTTATTCTACTCAGATAATTATATCGCTTAGTTTTCATAATTTGTGAATAGAACTCAAAAAGCAAGCGTCCAAGTTCAATTTTTTCTCAGGCAAACTGTGAAATAGTTCCCGATCATGTTGTTGATATGATTCGAAAATAAAATTCATCATTAATCTAAAAACAACATCAAATATTAAACTTTGTTCTTTACGAGATGAAATTTACTTGTGAAAAAAGAAAGTGCGACAAAGAACTGCAGACGTTTTCGGAATTTTAAACTTTTTACGCCAAAATTCCACATAAAAAGGTTAAAAACTTAAAATTCTTCTCGACATTTACCCCAAAGCGTCATCCTCAACATCAGTTAGATTAACATTCATTGATTCTAAATGTTTCACATATAATATTGAGTTACAGTGTTTTGTTTAATTCAGTTCCACTGAACTCCTTTTGATTTTCTTGGATTATCCCGTTTGAAATGTTCTTGTTCTGAACATAGGTATTGGTTTCTATACAGCCCTCGATTTAGCAATGAGAGGAGCGAGAGTAATCTTGGCATGCAGAAACAGACAGAAGGCTGAGGATGCACGTCAAAAAATTATCAAAATCACCGGTAACCCTAACGTAGTAGTAAAACTATTTGATGCAACCTCCTTCGATTCGGTCAGGGCGTTTGCAAAAGATTTCAACGAAACGGAAAAAAGACTGGATATCTTAGTAAATAATGCTGGCATGGCTACCAAGAAAAGAATCAAAACAAACGATGGTTGTAATATTATAATGCAGGTTAATTACTACAGCAGTTTTTTGTTAACTCATTTATTAATAGGTAAGTAATTATTCTCTTTTTTCATTTAGCCTGTCTATAGTCATTTTTTTTAAGAAACCATTGATGTTATGAATGACCAAGCAGATACTAATAATTCTCATTTATTATATTCTATCCGATCTAGTAATGTGCAAAGCAAGACCAAGGCCAATATTGTTCCTGTACTTGGTATTGGTTTTGATTTCGCTAGTATATAGTTTTGGTCTAGAATATCAAGATTGCAAGACCAAGATCAATTTTACTCATCATTCATCCGATCCGTAATTCGTTCAAATTTGGACGGCGTCTTAAATTAACCCAAGTCGTTAGTACTTACCACATTTTTCAATAAATTTCTAACGAATATTTTAATCTTTGTACCTATATGCAACAAACTACATATGTCAAACAAAAATTTAATGATTATATCTCTTATCATTGAACTGTAACCAACTGTACACTCGATTGTAAAAATTTAGACTCGACTACTTTTTTCCAATTGTTTTTTACCACCTCGAATACCTTAAAATTAATTAAAAACGATACTATCCTGGATACCGTAAGTAGGTCTATGACACAAATCAATATTTTAATTAAACGTTGAATAGTTAACTATTTTTGGAATATAATATTACTAGAAGTGATTCTAGCAACCGTTACGATTTCCACTATTGTTCGTTAACATCTTTTAAACGGTTTAAGTTGGATGAAATTTTACAAAACGCCCGCTATTAAACATTTAAATCGCCAGCCTTTGCTGCATTTCACGCATGTCTCTTGCCCTTTTTTACAATTTTTAATTGCAAATTGGAATGGCCAACCGAGTGATGGACAAATATACAATCATACCTACAGTAGAAAAGTATTATTATATACTATTAAACATTGAATTTTAAATAGTTATCCGTATCTATAATTAATTATGCACTTTATTATATGTATAAACTAGCTAACCCGGCCACGCGTTGCTGTGGCTAAAGTTTTTGTCATAATACATTGTTGTAAACTATTTAAGGGGAACGGTAGGAGAACATCAGACATGGGCATAATTAAAAAGGAGGAATAATTTCACTGTATTATATTCAGTATAATATGAATTTAATTTATACTTCAGTCTAAGTAACACATGGCCGGCTATGCTAACATCAAAAATTGAAAAAGTAAAATTCACTGTAATTCGTTTACTACAAAATAAATTTAACCTATACTTTAGCCTCAGCAACATGTGGTGGTTATACTATTAAAATTGTAGGTTATATGAAACGTTTGGAAGTTTGACATAGCGCCATCTATTGAATATTGCGATCATAAATTGAGATGTAAGCTATCCTATCTTTCAAGTTGGATCAAACTGCACACGGTGTACAAATTTGATTAAAATCGGTGAAGTAGTTTAGGTGTCCATCGCGGACAAACAACGTGACACGTNTTTTAACGGTTTAGTGAATCGATAATTTTTACAGGAGTTGTAGAATTGAATGAGGAACGTTTTTACAAATTTTTATTTGTCTCGTAGCATTTTGACATACCTCCCAAACATCCTTAAGGTCGTGCTAAAATATGTTGTTAGTTTGTCATAACACACCAATAACTTTTTAATGGTTTAGTGAATCGATTTGTAATTTTTACAGAAGTTTTAGAATTGAATGAGGAACGTTTTTACAAATTTTTATTTGTTTCGTAGCATTTTGATATACCTCCCAAACATCCTTAAACGTTGGGTTTGTTTTCATTTTTATAATCAACTACTTATTAATTTCAGGTGCAACATCTAGAAACATTGTTACACGTTAAAGACGAGAGAATCAACGATTTGACACGACAAATTGAACAACTGAGCGGCAGATCTAATACTAGCTTAAATGAACCAAGACTTGTAAAGAAATTGTTTTAATTAAAACTGTTATATATACATAATATGCAATAGAATCGTTTCAGGACTGACTTATATAAATTAACTTATAAATACAATGTTCTACACTCTACATCAGTAATTAGTTTTATTTGATATTTAATTCTAAAGACGTAAAATGTCAAAGAAGTTTAAATTTTTCATTTTCATTTATCCAATAGTGCATTTTACCCACGGTTTCGCTCGCGCTGATATTTTATCATGCGGGAACATCATTTTATTTTGGATAAAAAGTACCCTGTATCTTTTTCTGGATCCCTGACAATATGTGTACACAATTTGATGATGATCTGTTGAACAGCTAGGGCGTGAAATTGTAAGAAACAAACGAACTCATACTTGCATTTACAATATATTAGTTAGGATACCTAATACTTATGGAAATAATAATATTTGAAATCATCATCATAAAGTCGTCAGTCCTAAGACTGGTTGGACACGCACATCCACTCTTTCATATCCTGAACTAATTTTCGCATTTTCCTAAAACTAGAACATCCCACATCCTTAACTATTTGCTAATAGTAATCTAATCTAGGTCTACCTCTACCCCTCCTAACTCCTGTTTCTGCCTCTAATATGTCACTGATGAGGCCTTCATGCCTGAGAAGGTGTCCTGCTAACCTATTTCGCCTATTTCTTATTGACTTCCATAGTCCTCTGTTCATGTTTCACACCAGTACAGCGCCGCGCTTTAAACATATCTACATCACTCTTCGAACGCTTCTAACCGTTTCTTCTCCGCCGCACTCACCGTCCATGTTTCGCACCCGTACAGCGCTGCGCTTCAAACATACACCTTTAATAATATTTTTCGAATTTCTAAATTAACCGTTTGTGAGCATAGAAGTGACTTCTTTTTATTAAAGGAGGCTCAACCCTGCGCTATCCTCTGCTTTATATCCCTACTACTTTCGTAGTGAATTATCTGACTTCCAAAATACCGAAAATCAGCCACTTCTAATTTTTCGTCTCATCTTTATATTCGTCCTTTCCCTACTTTTTATTTTCATACAATTCTGTTTTGTCAATACCACTTCCATTGATAGTACCTATATTATACTTCGTTTACTTTCTGTAGCGATGTGACCTTCAGTTTAATCGGCGCAAAGTAGAAAAGAACAGCACTAGGCCAGAAAAGGAAGGAGACAACTCTCGGCCAAACTCTTAACCGGTGAGGAGCGTATAATCCGTACAGTACTGCACGGAAAAATTGACCATTTTATCCACTACAATT